ATTTTCCTTGTCTTGATCTTTTATATTTTGTTTTGTTCTGGACTTGCTGATTTTGTGTCTCAAGTCATCTTCAACAGCTTAACTCCGCAAATCCAAACCACCAGGTGTTACAAAGCTGGCACTTAAGGCACTTACCCCCTTTTCTCTGTCTACCCAACAATTTTTTTTTTTTACAAGAAAAACAATGGGATTTTTCCTCCACTGGAACAATAACTTCGCTTAAAAAATAATTTTTAAAAAATCACTTCTTTGTTTTCTTTCTTCTGAGAATTACACCCATCTATGTATACATTAAGGACTGTATTTCACGTGATGATTACTGGCAAAATCTGCTTTCAGACACACAAATGTTTGTAGAGCTCCTCACACCTCCTCTCAAAACTGAACTGCAACATGTGCAATAGAAAACAAACCTACTGTGGCATAGTTCCTTTCTTTTCTTCTTTTGTTTGAGCTCAATAGTATTATTTTCTTCATACTTCTTTATTAGTTAACAAATAAATTATGTTTACTTCTGAATCTCAAGAGGATTACTATTACAAAGGAAAATAACCTAATAACCATGTTTCGCTCCCATGAGAAGCATGTTCAGCCCCAAGTTCAGCTGACTGCTGATGCATGGCACCACTGTATTTCAAGACTTGCTGCCAAAAAGTAAGGAGGAAAACAAGAATCCAAACAAAATTTACCAAATTCACTGCAGACTGATTTATTACTTGTCATTCCTTTCATGCATACAGTAAGGTACCTCCAGTTAATTAACAAGTTATTTTAAAACATGAGAATGTTTAACAAGAAACTGATTTTGCACTTTGGGCCCACTATTGCCACAAATTAAATTAACACGTAGTATATTTCCTCCTCTTTCTTCCCTCCCCACTTTGTCCACAGAGAAAAAACCCTGCTATGAGGTAGACTGCTGAGTCCTGCTTGCTTCCTGGGTTTGTCCCTCCATAACTTCAACACACTTCAGCACGTTTAAGCATTTTAATTCTTCCATTTCACATTAAAAAAAAAACAACCAACCAACCAAACCCAAACTTGCAGATAAAAAATGCGACCTCCTCCTGCCACGTGCATGCCTCCGCTATCCAAGCAGGCTGACTGGCGACGGAGGCCGCAGGAAAGCATCTGTGCTCAGCACAAAGTGGAAGCCCAGCCCCGCACACGCAGCGAGCCCGTAAGCCGGTGCCTCGGCCCCGAGCGGCCACAGGTGCGGCGGGAGCCCCGGAGCCAGCGCGAAGGAGCCGCGCCCGTCGTTTAACCAAAGCGAATCCCTCCCGGGAGGAAACGGGTTGGGGGGAGCCCCGTCGAGCCCGGCCGGTGACCCCCTGCCCTGCGGCACCGCCCGCCAGCCTGGCCCGGGCGCGGAGCCGCGGGCGGCACAGGCAGGCCCCGGCCGCCCAGCCCCGCCGACATTGGGGCAGGGCAGGGCTGGCCGGGCACCCCCGGCCCCGCGGGAAGGAGGGAACCCGCCACCGAGCTACCGGCGCCCGAGGAGCGCACCCGGCCGGGCCGCGCCCCGAGGCCGCTGCTCAGGGCGCGGGGGCCAGGCCGGCGCTCCCCGAGCTTCCCGGCCGGGCACGGGCCGCCCCAGCGCGGCGGCTCAGTGCGGGTGGACCGGCCTGGCGGGACAGTGACGGCCCCACCACCCTGAGCCAAGCGGGCGCCGTCACAGGCGCTCCCGTCACATCCCGGCCGTTCCCGCCAGTTCCCGTCATGCCTCGGCGCCTACAACTCCCGCCGGCCCCCGCGGCCCCGCCGTCATTAACCCTCTGCGGCGCTGAGGCGCCTTTGCCGGCCCGCCCGGTCCCCCCCGCCCGCCTCGGCGGCTGCCCAGCGGGTCCCGTCCGAGCCCCCGGCACGGCTCCTGTGCGGCCCCAGGAGGAACGGCCGCCTCTGGCCCTGCCCGGAGGGGCGGCGGAGCTCGCTCCGAGCGGCCCGGCCCGGCCCGGCCCAGCGGCGGGCCCCGGGCCGCTGATGCTGGGGCGGCTTTCGGTGCTCCCGCACTGAGGTTTCTGGTCCCCAACCACAGTTTTTTGTTGCTGGTATTAACCTCACGCTCCCTGCCGGATGATAAAAAGCAGTCGAAATACCTTCTACCAACTGTTTGGGGTTTTTTATTTGTTTGTTTTGTTTAAGAAGGCAAATTGTAATAAGCAAATTAACTCAAAAATAGCTTTACAACCCCCAGAAAACTTTGGGACAAAGTTACTGGGAAATGCTGAGCTATCCGGCAGTGAAACGAATGCGAAAACTCAGTAACACGTTCCTATTCTATCCTCCTTCCCATACACTCTTCATACAGGTGCTCAGTATACATATGACTGACACATATAGCAGTTTGTCAGCTCCTCTCTTAAAATAAGTAGCAAACAATGTGCATGCAACTAACCTGCTGCGATCTAAAAAATAACCCGGAGTGTCATAATCCATTTATAAAATAAGTGAGGGACGGGGCGTGGGGGGTGCAGATATCACAAGTTCAGACAGAAGCAGCACCTCAGAGGAAAATCCACTGGGTCTCACCCGACCCCCTCCACAGCTCAGCACCGCACCCTGAAACACACCCCATGCACACAGCTCATTCCCTATACTTCCATTTTAATGGCAATATTTTTTTTTTTATGAAAGCCTCGTGCAGCAAATACAAGTCAAATGGCTCTAATTTGTAGTGCTACAAACTGTAACATGCCCAGACGTGTAACTGCCTGACAGACTACACAGAAATCTGGCTTAGGCTCCAACCTCTGAAACAAATGCAAATATCCAGAAACATTCTGCTATTTCTCCAAAATTAAATTACAAGTGAAACAAACCTACTGCCAGATTTTTCATATAAATACTTCTTTTTAAGAAATAAATCACTAAAAATTTATTATTTATTTCAAACCATAAACAACACAGAGGAAAGAGACACATACGTTTTCCTTTTTAGAAAAAAAAGAACTATCTATGAGAAAAGCACATATGTAGCTCCTTTTTAAAGTTTATTTTTTAATACTCTGTGCCTTAAATCAGCATAACAAGCCTATAGATTTATCTAGAGAAAACACAATTAGAAAATCTTTTAATGTTGCACTGTTTTTCGGACACTTATAGGAGGTTTTTAAAGACAATTCACAGCCATGGTATTTCAAACGGCTTCAGTACAATTATTTAGAATTTACTCCTTACTATAGCAATTTCTACTTTGGTATATATTTCAAAATTTCCTTGGAAAACACAATCAATTCGCATCTAGCTTAGCGTACCTACACTGTTACCTCTTTTTCTACATTTTCTCTTTACAAATCAGCCACAAACATTTTATAAGTGTTTACATATACATAATAAAGTAATGAAAAGGACAACACAACAAGAGAAATGCTCAAAACCAAACTTAAGGTGTAAATGACCTCCTCCCATGTTCCAGACGTACCTACAAAAACCCCTGCTCACTGGTACAGGATTATACATTCCATTATGAGTTCAGCCTTTTTATATTTTGTACTATTTTAACACTCTAAATTTATAGATTTTTAAAATTGGCATGTTAAAAGGGCTTTATTTAAGAATTTCAATGAAAATAGTGTTATGTTTTGTCATATTACCATAATCCTTCTTTTTAAATCACTTAGAATTTCAGTATAACCTAATTAAGTAATTTTAAGTAAGTCTTAACCCAAATACATAGATCTAATAAAAATGTATTTTGCAAACAGGGAAAATAGACCTCTAAAATGTATTCCTCAGGTAGGAACAAAGATACTGAAACATTTTCTCCCCACAAACTTTGAGATCTGAACTATTTCACAGCACTTATATTTAAAACCAAAATACTTATAAGAAAACAAAGTTCACCAAATATCAAGCATAATGTTTTATTCCAATTGTATTTATTTATTCCTTTTCTATTTGAAAGAAATATTTCAATTTTCCTTGCCAAAAAGGAGAGAGAAAAGGGGAAGAAAAATACTTAAAAATCCTAACTACCTATCTTCACATATTGTTTATTTCAAAACTTTTCTAACAGCAGTTTATACCTTTTTTAGATATTGTATATTATTTTACCTGTAGAAATATTTTGATTTAGATTTTTGCCTTTTATAAGGTTACAGAACAACATTATAGCTTTTAGAGACTTCTAATATTTTTTAATCTCTCTTTTTTTAAAATACTACAAACATCTCATTTGGTAAACGGAATTTACATTTCTCTCTTGTCTAAATTATCACAGTTGAATCAACAATTCAAATCAGGAAGAAAAAGTGATGTACCATAACACAATAGCAAGTCCAACACTTTAACACAGCTCCTCTATCTATTGGTGTATAAAAAGCTTACACAAAGTATAAAATATCTCAGAAATACAGATTCTTTCCTGATCAGAAAATTTTATTTATTGATTAATTTGACCTCACGAAATTGCATTTTTTTCAAAAACCATCCTATCTCTAGCTTTATGCCATTTCCTGACTCTTGCTTAATTAACCAGCATGCTTTAAAAACAAGTCTTGTTCCTTCAACTTAATCAAAACAGACTACTTTTAATTGCTACCACATCAACTATATTTTTCAACACAATAAAGCCACGTACAATTAGAAAGATCTATTTTTTTAGCCCTGTCTTTGACCAACCACAGATTATAGCATCTACTTCCAATTTATTAGCTATTCTAATATGACGTGAACTGAAACACACACCACGACTCACAAATACATCAATCTTTCTATAGTATCCTCTCATTTGCATCTTTTAATGGGAAAATCCAGTATACTACTGCAAGGACTACTGTTCTCCTGCAACTGACTGGACTTCAGAAGGACTTGGCATTAACTTCCCTCCCTCACAACATTTTGCCTCCTCGCCTCTCTCAAACTAAACCAAAAATATTTGTGTTTGCCTGAAATGTCAGTAAACTCCAAAATCTAAAAGGCCAAAAGGTCAGGTATTATTTAATCTGAACAGAAAAGTTATTTTCTCTCTATATCAAAAGGTATCAGTAACAGCGCATTACCTGAGAAGTTATGCTCGTTTCCCTCGGACGTCTGTCCTTCTGTCCAGAACAGGGGCTGTGTTGGGCTCCCTATAATGTAAGAGAGAATAGATTAAAATTATTGTATGCCAGGACACATTTTTGGATGTTCAAATTATGTGACCCTCACAAAGCTTTGTATCTCTTGATCTGAAAAGCATTTAAGAACTCCTATTGCATTCTAATTAGAGTCCTCAAAATTGGTCTTGATAAGTCAGGTGCACATGCCAAAAATTAGTTCCATACGTGGTAAATTGAAGTACCAGATTTTCCAGACCTGTTTTTCAGTTCTTAGAGGCCCGTATAACACTGTATTAAACTGTATACCACTGCATGCTCCATCTCATTAGCAACATTTAACTGCAAGTGGCATGATCTTACATTTAAAAAGAAAAAAATAATTTATTTTACATACACTGAAAAATTTTTTTAAGCCATTTACATGAGGGACAGAGTCCTGAGATATTTCTTTGCACGGCAACTTTTTCCTTCTCTGCTTTAGAAGCTGAATACCTTCCCAGATAAATACGGTGTCTGCTTTACCATTTTTTCTGTGGTTTGTGTTATTTTGTACTTATTTGTGATGCTGTACAATTTCCATAGGCCTGTAGTTTTGAGACTTCTATCTCCTCCCTTCACATGCAAGGAAGATATCAGCTAAAATCACTGTCTATACACTGTTACCCCCCCCTTTTTCCCTCTACGCTTTTTCAAACAAATGTGAGAGGGGAAAAAAGTTCAAGATAATGAGTCCAAATTCATTGTGCTAAATTTCAAAAAAACCCCTTTCCCTCAGTTTGTCATTTAATAAGCATTATCAATGTAAATCATGGTCAGAAAGCCTCAGCATTGGAGGGTGTAGTACTTATGACTAAACTGCCTTTTTTTAAAACAAAACAAAACAAAACAAAACAAAACACCTGCCATCTCTTACCCTTCTCCGTCCACATATTTTAGCCTCCTAATACTGCTTAGATCTATAGCAGACTGTTGCTGCACATGTATTTTTCCACCCAATTTCCTAGACATTGACAAATGTGAAACAAGGAAGAATTTTGCACAATGTTAACTTATCTAAACCACTTATTTTCTCCATTCTCTCTTTTTCTCCATGACTCCCATTGCTTTTTTTTACCCTCTGGTGTTGTTTTGTTTGGTATTTGCCCACTTTTCTGTACATTTGTCTCCTGCTGATCATACTAAACGGGGCAGAGAGAACTGTCTATCTGTCTCTCCCCTTTGCTACACTGCCTCTCATTTTTTAGTGTTTTACAGATTAAACACATTCTACAGTCATTTTCATATATTTTTAAAGATACTTTTCCTTTCCCTTCTCTAGAAACTTGCTGATTACAGTCCCCAATACTTTTGCAAAGCAAGGTCAATACTGTCTTGCTCTAGCACATGCTCCTGTCAGCATATTAAGTGTACATGACTTGCAAGCCTGTGATGCAACACGTGAAAAAGGAAAATGCATGGAAAAGAAAAGGGGGTAACATTTATAGATGCCCCTAAACATCATAAATAAAAAAAATAGACATTTTTAATTGGTTCTGACTTTTTAAAGAGATACCATCATGAGAAAACATCTATCTTAGGGGAAATCTTTATCTAGATCACTAGCAACACTTTCACACACTAATAAAACTAAAGAAAATTTTACAATTCAAATTTACTGTTTAGCATCACCAGTTTAGGATTTACTTTTCTGCATTTTACTCAGCCTGGGGAGTGAGAGTTGCCTGTTGGTTTCACTTTTGTTCTCAGCTAGTTTCACTTTCATGCACTGGCAGAATCTTCTATATTTTTGGTTCAGCAATGTTAAAGATGACATTTACATCTTTAAACAATCCTCATTACACTTTTAATACAAACAATTCATGTCCATCTACTTCCCAGGACACTAAGAAAAAATTATTTTGGGGGCCTAAATATAAAGGATAGCATACTTCTAAAGGAGCAGCTTTCACCTTTCTCATGTTGGGTTGTAGTCTGCTCCTTCTTTCCCTGAAATCAATAGGAAATGTGCCATTCACTTCACTGACATCAGAATCAGGCCTCTGGGTCTGTAATCTGCAATAAAAGAATGCCAAATGCAGACCAATATATTCCTTATAACGTACAATGTTTGCCTTCAATTATTTTCCTATGCAAACTCAAGGGGAAAAAGTTCCTGCATTTACCTTTCTGTATACTTTTGAATTAGTGACAAATACCCTTCTTGACACAGGCCACAGAAAATTAGAGGGCATCTGTTCACTTTGAGTGGTTTTCATGGGGAGGGAAATACTGTATCTCTCTGCTACCAGGTGTGAATAACTCTTTCTCCTCCTTGTGCGAAGCACAATCAATAAGAAACACTCCAGCCCATACAGAACTGTTACTGTCTTGCACCAGGACCTTGTCTAACCAAAGTTTCCAAAGCTTATGCTTGCGTAAACCTCATTTTTTCAGAATACACCACAATGCTTTTAGCAACTATAACTATCAATAGCAGGGGAAAAAAACAGCTTCCATTTATATTTTCCAAACCCATATGTACCCTTTTACATGACCTTCCCTCTCTATGGTACAGACTCCAAAACGCAGTCACGAACTCGCACATATGTGTAGGTTGGCCCATATACATACAATGAAATCTTCCTCCAGCTACCAAAGCACTGCAGCTTCTGCCTTTGTAGACATAATGGCTTCTGAGACACTGAGACTTAAAGGAAAGACTTAGGGGTTTACAGGAGCCACGCAACAATCACTTTTTCAACTTCTTTCCTAGAAATTCTATGTCCTACAAGCACACACAGAAATTATCACTAGCTGCTTACAGAAATTATAGTCATATTTATATGCCAAAAGTTAAATATTAAAAGCTCACCTATGCAACCCCTGTGAGAATACTTATATCACAGTTTTATTTTCACTACTGTTTTATTTCACCATATGAAACTTAAATAAAAAAATGGAATTTCATTGTGATCATGTACCCATCCACTTCAGAGACACCCACTTTTTTATTCAAGTAGTCTGTGGTACTATGTGTTTGACACATCACACATCTAGACACGAGCAGCTTCCACAGAATGATATAGCACATGTTCCTGTTTTCTCTTTTCCTGAATGTAACTACACAGAAGAGGAGTAACTACGCTCTCAAATAATTTGTCTCTGCTTTCGTTCTCAACCACTACTTCTCCTTTCCTTTCCCCAGAAGACATGTCTTGTGTTTCCAAGGCCAGGTCAACATGAGACTCATACACACACTTAATTTCAAGCATACAGTTATAGCCCCTGTGTTCAGTGGGGTTATTCACTCACTTAGGTCAACCACACCCTAAAAGCTTCTGTGCCATACAAAGATAGACCACTATAATCACCTGGGTCACAGGAAACAGAGCTTACCAGAAAGCCTGATCGCAACACTGACTTTCATATACTCCCAACACACTGCGTCTATACACCCAGGGTAGCCATATCCCTCATAAGTTGCAAAATTCACTCTTTCTTAACTGCGATGTCTAAGATTTGTTTGTCCCTAATTTCCTAACGTCCAACCATGCTGTTGATAAAGTGTTTTGGTGGAAGTTAGCTATTACATCAGGCTTTCACCCAGGGCTGCATTTCCCCCCACAATAAAGTGTCCTGAGAGAAAGACTTTGCTAGCTTTCCCTGCATTAGCTTTTAGGGCAAATTCTTTAATATATGATGAAGCTTAACTAAAGTGGGCACTCATGAAACCACTAAATATCCATCCATTAATACGGGTGAAATGAGAGAAATAATTACAGAAAATACATTGGCCTGTTTCAAAATGGTTCCTTTAAAGGATGTGCTTCATAACTTAGCCTTGCTCTTAAATGCTGTTCTTGGTACACTTGTAGAAATTACTTCCTTCTAGAGATTGTGCCCTGTATTTTATCTGTCTTGTATCACAGAATCACGGAATATGCCGAGTTGGAAGGGACCCACAAGGATCACCGAGTCCAACTCCTGGCCCTGCACAGGACCATTCCCAAGAGTCACACCATGTGCCTGAGAGTATCGTACAACTGCTTCCTGAATTCTGCCAGGCTTGGTGCTGTGACCACTTCCCCGGGGAGCCTGTTCCAGCATCCAAACATTCTCTGGGTGAAGAGCCTCTTTCTAATACCCAACCTAAACCTCCCCTGACACAACTTCAGGCCATTCCTTCAGGTCTTATCACTGGTCACCACAGAGAAGAGAACAGTGCCTGCCCCTCCTCTCTCCCTCACAAGGAAGTTGTGACTGCAGTGAGGTCTCCCCTCAGTTTCCTCTTCTCCAGGCTGAACTGACAAAGTGACCTCAGCCACTCCTCATAGATCATCCCCTCAAGGCCCTTCACCATCTTCTTTGCTCTCCATTGAACACTCTCTAATAACTTAATATCTTCCTATATTGTGGTGCCCAAAACTGCCACAATATTCAAGGGGAGGCCACACCAGTGCAGAGCAGAGCCGGACAATCTCCTCTCTCGACCGGCTGGTGATGCTGTGCCTGATACACCCCTAAACATGATTGGCCCTCCTGGCTGACAGGGCACTGCTGACTCATATTCAACTGGCCATCAACCAGGACCCCCAGGTCCCTTTCTGTAGCACTGCGGAAATATAAATAAATTTATATAAATATTTGCTATACATTTTTGTGTTTCTTAAACTAACGAGATAATTTTAGCTGTGTAACTGTCATTTGACTTCTGTCTTCCAATATTAAGGATATTAAGACCTCACAGCAAGGATTATCAATGAACCCTTCAAAATACTATGTGTGGTAGAGGGTCAGAAGACAGTTACACGTGAAAGGTGATGGAAAGAGGGTTGATGTTCTTTCAAAGATACTTAATGTTGTAATAATTCCTGAAGTGCAAAGAAGGGAACTCCCCAGGAGATGCCTTTCTTAGCCATGCCAGAAGGCTTGAAGGGCTCTGTAGTCTCTCCTTGGGGTTTCTAATGGTTTGCAGCCCTCTTCTGACAGGTCCTACTGTGGTAGAAGAGGTTATCACAAGGACAGTCTGCTCCTCTCTCCTTTTCCCTTCTGGAAACATGGAGCAGAGCAACCATTAACAAATACTTGCTAATGTATTTGTGTTGGAAGGCACCAGGCATAACACCTGGTGCTATGTAATAATCACATTATTCATAACCCTTGTAGTGGAGAGTAACTGTCATGGCAGGTGGGTTAAACTGAGGAACAGAGATGTGAACAGGTCAAACAGTGTCTGTGACAGGTGAGGAGAGCACAGCCTGGGATCATTGACTTTTCACCTCTCATTCTAGTTCAGTCTCAAATACACCAGACCTTAGCTGTCTTTACTTTTTTCTGACCTTTTGAGCAGTGCCCTGATCCCAGCTCAATGAGGCAGTCACATAGGAGAGACCAAAATGAGCACAGCAATAACCAGGCTAGCTCCTGGGGGTGAACATCCATAGAGAGCATCCCAATAGTGTTGGGACCCCTACTTCTGCCTGTGAGCCAACAGCATCTTCATGTTTGCACAATAGGTTTATATCAGAGATACAGTGAATATTGCAACGCATGTATTATAAACATTATCTGGCCCTATTTTAAACAACCAATGTAACACAACCTCATAGATTTCCAATACATAGATTTCTTTTGCAACTTCTAAATAAAGACCAGCTGATCAAGAGATCTAAAACAGTATACACACAACATAGGGAAAAATACCTTCATTTCTTTCCTTAAATTTAAAGCAAATATACTAATATCAAAACCTCTGTCTATCACTCATATCCCTTACCAAGCATAATTCTGCTTATAGAGAAACACAACAGAAAGATGACCATAACCCAGGTGATCATACAGACTTTGCATTGTCATGGAATTATGTAGGTCTTCTGCCACTATCAGCAGACCTTCACTGCATCCAGGTTCAACAAAACTGGTTTCTGTCGCTTTCTAAAACTGTGCTGCTTGGGAATTCATTGCTCCATGGGAACTTTGCCTCCGCTGAACAAGTGTTTCTTGAACTGAGGGTTGCTAAAGGACATAACAATATACGCAGTGTTAGAAGAAAAAGTTTGTCAGCAGTATCTCAGTTTGGACAGCTGGGGACTGAGAACTTCCTGCAAGCATCTGGGGTAGCCACTGAGCTACTGACTACCTTGGCTTGCTGGCAGCACGTCCAGTCTCCCTGAAAAAGTGAAGGTGAACAGATGTCCTTTAATACAGTTTATCAAACTTCCTGAATCTGTGACTTCCTTTTGATTCATCTCTTCATAAAGGACATAATGGCATTGCATATAGTAGATTGCAAAAAAGGAAGTGCATATACTGCCTGTTAACAGGAAAAGGAACTGCATCACAGATACCTCCCTACGCGATTAAAAAAAGACACATAAAGCTTTTACTAATGATGGGAAGAGTGGTGGAAGATTTATCAGACTTGATCAATTAATAGCACATCATTTAGTGACTACCTTTTTGCCATATATTCAGTATCCTTCTATAATTAAAAAGCAGGGCATGATCCTCATAGTCCAAAAGGATTAGTCCTTCTGAACGAGATATTACTGGATGAGTGGGAAGGAACTGCACATCACTCATCTCAGTTGGAAGAAGTGCTCAACATGTCTAAAAATCCTGTGGACTCCAATTGTCTCAAGATGTATCACGACCTTGGTGCCTGTCATTTATTTTGGCTTGCATGCAAACAGCTGATGAGCTTGCTCCATTTCCCTTTGCCTTTTTGAAGGGCTTCAGCTTTGAAACCACTTATTGCCAAACAGCCCTTCTGTTTTCTTGTTCTTAGACCAGCTTTGTACACTCCCAAGGTCCTTTCCCAACTGTAGTTTGGAGAAGACGGTGTGCCATTTCTCCCACAGCAAATCTTAAATAATATATTTTACTTTATATTCTACATATTCATACCTATATTCTGCATTTCTACATTTTATTTGACATTCCAGGGCACCTAAGCAAATGGCATACATTTAACTCAGTTAATACTAAACTTGCAAAAGATAAAAGACCCCTTACTTTTCCCACCCTCTTAGCAAGCTAGTGTAATAAATAACAACCTCTGGTCAAAAAAAGTT